GCCGGCTCCAGTGAAAGTGGCCGAACCCTTTCACCGACCGCCGTCTCCGGCCAGCTGGTCAGCACAGGCCGCAGCGGCGCCGCCGCCGACACAGCTGTTACCACCCGGCCACGGAGCTCTCTGCCGCCTCCCCGGACATTGTCAATCAGGCAGCGGGCCGCACCGCGCCGAACCTAATTATTGCTAGTCAGACGATGTAAGTACGCTGCCACGGAACCACTGACAATGAAACGTGTGACCTCGGCCATCGCCAACGAGACTCAAAAGCTGCCGTTCCGGTCGCCCGACCACTATCAATGAATGGGGTGTAAAACGGACCAGTCTATGGATGGGGCTCGGGCGGCATGCATGGCACGGCGCGACATGCACGGAAAGCGTGTAGTCGTTCACCTAACCTCCGGAGGCGGATCTTTCTGCCTGACATTTTTGTATAGTCGTATGTTTTACCCCAAACAAAACTGAGTAGAAAAAATGAATAAATAGTAATGAAGTGAAGTCACTAAAATGGTCCAGACAGGCGTTTGCTCAGCAGGGCATTACACCAAGAATGCTGTGAAATCTCTCAGGAGGCGGTCAGAAACAAATAGTTGGCGCATCGTCATTTGCATTCAATTACAGCAACCTCCGGATGGGGTGACGCACGGTTCGTGTGTACAATGCAACCCCCAAGCATTGTGTATGGCATAGCTGGACAAAACCCTCTGGCCATGGGGTCTCGGATGCCGCTCTCAGCATGCCGGGTCCACGGCCGCTGTGACGGCGGTCGAGGCAGCTGCGGTGGGCGCCGGTCGCGGGCACCACGTCTGCTGCGCCGGCTGGGCCGGCGCGCGGCTCGGCTCCGGCCGGCGCCGGTGGCGGTCCGGCGCGCGCCTGTGATCGCACGCGGTGTGACGCGGCGTGACCCCCTCCGCGCCACCTGCTGGAGCTCGGTCACGCCGCACTGGCGGCGCGCCGGCCCCGGCGCGCGCGCCGTGTCGGCTCGGTGTGACGCACAGCGTGCCTGCGGTGCGCCGCCGGCCGGCCGGCCGGGCAGGCGGCGCGCGGCGCCCATTGCACCCTGCGTGACCCACCGGCAGCCTTCGGCTGCGGCGCCGGCTCTCGGCGAACGCCAAAGCTCAGGCAGCGGTGCTCCGCACCAGTAAATGGTCTGTGACAGCGGCGTCCGGCGGGTGACGCCTGCGTGGACCGTAGGCCGGTGATGGACGCCTGGCGGCCCGTTGGCGGCCCGCCACCTGCGCCGCCCCCGCCGGCGGAGTGTCGAGGCCGCCGGGCTCAGTGTCGCCGGCCGAGGAGACGGCCGCCAGCGTCGGCCAGGTGACCGTTAGTCGGCCGGCCCGCCCGATCGCAGCGCGAGGAGCCGGCTGAGCCGAGCGGCTCGGCGGTGCGTGCTGACGGATTGCTGATGGTCGGCGCCGCTGAGTCACGGCCGCACTGATTGACGGCCGCTCCTGTGGTGCCGCGTGGCAGGCTCCTGGTGGGCCCGTCTAACTGTCGGAGGCCCTCTGGCCCAAGGATGTCAGTTGACGCTGATACTGCGCTTGCTACGGAGGTTAATGGCCAGATGGCCTCGTTGTCGAGGTGGCAATTTTCGTAGACTTCTTCAGGAGCTATATGATTGTTGTGTAACTGTGAGCATGGTTGGCGTGCGCATATAATTTATCTGAGTCACCCACTAGAAAAGCGTATGTTGTTTGCCATTTTGGCGAGTTTGGCTTTTTCAATTTACTTAATGACATCTCGCTATTCAGGTGCTCATGATTCCAATATGAATATCATTAATTAGCCCCTCGTTGTGAAATCAGTGAAATAATGTTATGGTGAACAGAATACGCTCATCGATATTTAGGTCCTCAACTCTGTGCATTTGGGTGCCTCGTCCTTGCTGTGAAGCTGCCCCGCCCCAGTGGCACCTGGAGTCAATCCGAGTTGTTTCGGTGCGGCTGCGAGTGGTGCGACATCGGGAGGTCAGAGCCGCCCGCTTCCAGAGGCGTCGGCGGTCTGAGCTGCTCCTGTCCCTGAACTTGTTCCTGTTTCGGTCCAGGTCAGACGACCCCGGTTCGGCCCGTGGAAGCCGGTCATTTGGCTTGGCTCGTTGCGCTTGGGCTCATACCAAGCCGAGGGTGGTAATTGTGCTGCACCGCTTGGCTGGAAGCCCTTGAACATTTGTTTTGAAAGTTGTCAGCACAGCTTTAGTGGTTTAACGGCCCCCTGCTGGCCTGGTTGGTGCCACGGGTCCTGTTCCGGCACTCCCGACGGCCTCCGCTCGCGTGCGCTGCACGCACATCCAAAGTGTTGCGTGCGCTGCGTATGCGTTGGCTTGCGCTCAGTCTTT